GTGCTATGTAGCGAGCGGAAGCCAGACTGGCTGCTGTTTAATAAAACAATTTTCATTCAGATAGTGATAAAGTTGGTCATAGATAATCTTTTCGAAAATTATGGCTACGGTAGGAATAACAGATATAGGCTGATAGTTGTTTAGTTCAGACTTCAAACCATTGTTAAAAATTGGTGACAATTTAGCCAGTTTCCAGTCCGAGGAGAAAATACCAGTCACTAACGATTGATTAAAGATGCCAGTTAAAGAGGGCGGCAATTTTCAGAAGCCTGTTTGGAATTTTGTCAAGACCAGTTGCCTAACCTACATCGATAGCTTTGAGTAATTTGATGACTTTTTGAATATTGATCCGTTGAAAGGAAAATACTCCATCAAAAGGACTAACGAAGGCAAGTGGGTCAATTGCCAAACTAGGAATTTATTGTGCCAGAGATTGGCCAATGTTTTAAAAATGGATGTTCAATGCTTAAGCGATATCACCAGGTGAGGTGAAAACAAGGTTTCCTGATTTGACTTGAGACACTTTGGTCGATTTACTTTGCCGGATTGGAGTTCATTAATTAACCGCCAGGTTATACGAGGATCACTTTTGTTTGCATCAAGATTTTCAGAAAAGTATTTATGTTTAGCTTTCTTCAATAAGTTATTGGCCTTATTTCCGAACTATGTATGTGGAAAGTATGTGATGGTGAAATAAATTATGTGAGATCCATTATATCATCAAGCTCTAGGTTTGTTCTTTTCTTTAGATCTTGATCTTTTTCTAGGCGTTCTCTTATGATGGTTAATGTCTCCTGTATAGGGGTCTTGGTGAATAGTGACACAACATCGTGGGAGTTGAAGATGTAAGACTATGTTTTGAGAACATTTAAAGGGATATTTCTTCAAGAGCATAATAAAACAAACATGTCACTACGACCATACTTACCATAGTCCATCAAACACCAAGCCAGAGTATCATGTTCTAGAAGAAGGTTTTAAGGAAACCACAGTAAATCCAAGCGATGCACTTCAAAGAGACGGGCCAGTTTACTGCACATTGGATGGACTGGATTCAAATGTTTTCACAACACCTGTTGACGTTTGACGGTTACTCTCCACCTCTGTTACAAAACAAACAGGGAAACGAAACTAATCAATGAATGACTGACTTTCCTTGGAAGCACTCTCAAGACTGCTCACCAATGGCCTCTATGTCACAAACTTGCATCAACATTAAATAGAGCAGATCAATTTTGACGTTGTCTTAAGCTGTCCACAGACACTTATTCAAAAACACGCGAACTATGAAGTTCAAAAGCCCCCTTCGCAGTTACGTTTTTCGCTGCCGTCAATCATAATTACGATCATAAGCAACGAACCTCGAAACACAGAAACACACAAAATGGATCAAACTCCACCACTCTCAAATCACAAACGATGACCTTTTGAACTCGTTAAAGAAATCTTCTATTTCCTAAGACGCCCCTAAGACGATTGACGGCAGCGAAAACGCAAACGTCGGTTGGCTTTTGAACTTTAGAATTCGCGTGTTTACGAAAAGCGCAGTAATAATAAGGGTAAGCTGAAGGACTGAACTTGTAAAAATGTATCAAGTAACAAGAAAACATCTGAGCTACTGACAAACATTAAGGCTGAGGACAGACTTCGATCTTTGTACGGGAAGCTTGAAATTTATACGTAGTCTACAAGAAATTTTAGAGCAAAATTTAATATAAAAAATATTCACTTATCATCACAAAAACAAACAAAAGCAAATGAAATAAATAAATGCAACCGCGAACTCGCGAACCAGAGAATCAAAGCTGAAGACAGACTAAGCCGGGGATTGAGGTCGTGTTATATGAGAGCGACGAAATAGATTAAAAATGATCATGGATCCGGAGTGTAAAGACCATATTATGTACCTACACTATATAAAGTACTAGTAGTATTTTAAACTTGAACAGTAAACGTAAATATTACCCTGATACTATCAAGGGTGACAAATTACCGCTTAATTTTGGCGCGAAATTTCAGCGTCATTATTAATTAATAGGGAATCAAATGGTATACTCGTGAAATTAGGGAATAATTTCACTTGCGTTTTATCCAAATGCTAATAACTTCCCAAGCCTTTATTCCCTAATTTTACTCGTCACAATTTGATTACGCATACTAGTTTTCAGAATTTTTCGACACAATACCTGATAGAATCCTTCTTGGTGTGCTCTTTCGTTTGTTTAGGATTTCTAAAGCTTCTTTTTATGCCCTTACTTCTTCATTCACAACACTTTAAAACTTTGCCGCCATCTTGGCACTGAAACGTACGGAACGTTGCCATGGCAATTTTTTAATTTCACCCGTGAAATTATAAAATAATTAACGCTGAAATTTCGCGCCAAAATTAAGGAGTAATTTGCCACCTATGATGTTATGAAGTTAAGCGAATATTTAAGGACGAAAGTTTCAGTGCGTGGAGTGGAGTTTTGTATCGATAATCAGTTCGATGAACATGTCAAAGACCTACAATCGTGAGCGTAATTTGCCACCCATGATATTAATAGGTAATCAAATGGTATACTTGTGAAATTAGGGAATAATTTTACTTGAGTTTTGTCCAAACGCTCATAATTTCCCTCCGCTGAAGGCTCGGGAAATTAGTAGGATTTGGACAAAAGGGGGGTGAAAATATTCCCTAATTTCACTCGTCACCATTTGATTACACATACATATTTAGGGTCTTTTCGAGTTGCCTAAACCTCCGTTTCAGAGCGAGGCTAGCTAAATGCTAAGCCATTGTTATAGAGTGTTTTCACATGTCGTTACGGCGGCCATGTTGTGTCCCAAAAAAATGAAACGGCCGCCATGTTGGTGTCCCAAACCAGTCCTCTGGGAGTTGAACTCTTTTCTTATGCAAACGCTTTCTTTTGTTCCAATAAATTTGCATATATGCTGGCCAAGTGAGTGAAAACACTCTATAAAAATGATTCGTACTGTCATACAAATGAAACTTGTTTTCACAACAAAGGTTTCGCACCTAGGGCCTCGTTTTGAAGGTGAGAGTTTTCTGTACTCATTCGTTCGCACACTAACGCTCACCACGAATCATGTAGTGACATCGTGAAACCACAATTTCACAGGCAGATGAACAATATTTTGATATTCTACATATTTATCATAAAATCGAAAAATTAAAACACATTTCTACTTTTTTACCTGGAGTTAGGTTTTTTTTTTCCAATTTTCACACTCCCTTTGTAAAAGTTCATAGTTCGTTAAGTACACGGTTAAGTACATTTCATTAAAAGTAAAATAAAACGCGCAAATTGTTTGCTTGCACAGTGAAAGAAATAATTAAATTGCCAATAAATGTTAATTGCCCGGACGGATCCAGAAATTTTTTCGGTGAGACACGGGTTCATTTCTAGAGCTTTATCGGTGACGTTTTTTCTCTTTTTAAACAACGAACAATTCGAACGAGATTCCGTCTAATAATTAAACTAAAATACCGTAACTTTTAGTCTCAAACAAATAAAGACGTGCAATAAGAAACAATAACTCGAAATCTTCGGTTGACTTAACATGATTTCAAAGTTGATAAGCAGCCTCGTCATGAAATAGCTTTCACTTAATAGTTCTTTTAGAGTTTATAGCTCATATGATTGACTTCCCACCATTCCCACTTCACTCGTTTTTCCTGACGTTCGCCTCTCTTTTCGTTTAACTTTGCAATGATCAACAGCTGCCTTGTACTATACAGCTGTATATAGTAGGTCCAAGAGAGATTGGCGCTTTAAACCTGTTTACGACAGCAAATCAATGCTATGTAAAGTTGCGTGCTTGCTTGTCTCATCTCGGGTCTGTATTGAGTATCAAGCCGAAAAGCAGCAATTGAACAGACTGAAAAAGTCGCTTGCGCTGTATCGACATTGTAGTCCGACAAGTGCGTAGACAGGGCGTTTTTTGACGTTTTGCACTATTTTCCGGTCGGCTTATTAATCGGTTCGGTTGATGAAATTGTAGGTTGCTTAATATGCTGATTTTACTATTAGTTATTAGTTTTAAATTTGTTAATAACCAATATCGTTGGCCACCACAGAGCGGAAAATTGCTTTCTTAGGAAACGTATTCTCCGCAAGAGGAACTTTCTTCAGTAACAAAAATAGAAATGAATTTTCAACCTCAATTACCAGTTTTAATGAGATGGCATGAACATGGTGGGAAACAAAGCTAACGTGATTTTTCAATTAACATTTCCACGTAGTAGTAGAGCATAACGGCCCAAATTACCTGATTTTTAAAAGAGCTACATCAGCTTTGATATAAAAGCAGTATATTTCCGGACGTGATGCTCTAAGGAAACAAGAAATTGTTGTTTGAATGAATGACTGAATAATTTTAGGTTCACACGGTGTCTTCTTAACGAGATATTAACTTCATGAATAGCCGGTAATGGACCGACAAAAGCTTAATTATTTCTTTTTATACTTCTATTCGCATTTACAACCAAGAGATTTTCCAGTGTGTTTTTCATGTCAATGTTTCTAATGTTAGCCAAGTTGGTGAAATTTATGTTAACAAATCATCTCTTCTTCCTGTGGTTTATTTGGATTGCTGATAAAATACATACAGATATATGCCCTAGTAGTGTATTGCCTCTTCAGGACATTGGGTTTCCTTATTAACCAATAGAATTTACTCGTGGATCCTTATGGTTCAATATAGAGGGCAATATAGCATTGAGTGGCTCTAAAACTCGGAATTCGTGACCTCATAGTCGTCATGAATTCACTGTATTGGCGAAGAGACTTTCCTTGGTTTCAGCAAGTGAAAACCTTTTGATTGTTCAAACGCTGGATTGAAAACAATTTTAACCCGAAGAAAACAAGTGGTTTCAAGCCAAACATTACGGCTTACATTCAAGTGAAAGGACAATTGCCAACGTCGTTAATTGAATTGATGAAATTATCCAATTTGCTGGTTTCCTCGGTTAATTGCCAGAAGTCCAGAGTTATAAGATGACCGATTTGTATGTATTTCTATTGTTCCTTTCCTGCATTGGATCGACTGTTCATGGACAACCTAATCCGTCCCTACGTATATTTCGAAACAAGAATGATCCAGATGACGACATTCAGCTGCCTTCTGTACAAAGCGAGTGTCCCACTACAGAGACTCCCCTTTGCGATAAATATAATGCTCGACGGTTCGATGTCTCTGATTCCTGCTTGTGTCAATGCAATCAACCTTCAGGGAGTTACACTTTCTTCGAACCGAACAACTCTTGCATAAGAGTAAGCGAGGCTCGTCAGCAAGCAGGTAAGAATTGTTTTTGTTTTGTTTGCCGTACTCATTATCAGATAGAAGTCTGAAAATCGACGTAAACTATTAAGTCTGTTTTATTTAATAGGAAAAAAGGTTAGGAAACTTTTGCCTCTGTCTATTTTCAAAAATAATTCTCGAATACTGAAAGCTTTGAATTAAAGCTTTAATTAAGGTGTTGTTCTTTTCATTCAAAGTCTGGTTCCAAGAGGCCGACAAAGGCTAGGAAACTTTTCTCTTTGTCTATTTTCAAAAAATAATTCTCGTTTACCGAAAGCTTTGAATGAAAGCTTTAATTTAGGTGTTTTTCTTTCGATTCAAAGACTGCTTCCAAGAGGCCGACAATTTTTCTTCTAAGGTAGGATAAGGTGCAGTGGTTTCGTTGTGGTTTCGGATCTTCCCTTTTTTTATGGTAAATTGATGGTATGTATATGTAAGATTTTGTTTTCCGTTACGTGTCACTTAACAGGTTATTAAGTTTCTTTCAACACCGCGTTCACATATTAACCGGTCGCTAACTAAAACAAATGTTCCAACGAATTCCGCTTTTTGCCGTTCGTAGGATCGATTAACACATAATCACTTCAATAAAGTGATACACGTGAAAAGTGCAACAACTGTTGATCAACAAACTTTTTAGCTCTTGTTGGGCGTTAAGCCGAGTAGAGCTCATCCCGGCTATTTTCGTTCAATCGGTTCAACATTTCGTTCAGCTTGTTTGATCGATGGCTTATATCAACAATTAACCCCCCTGAGCTTTAGCACTAAAACAAAGAAAATAAAGGGGATACACGAGGCAAGCAAAAAATTTTTTAAACTTGGTATGGTTCGAACCAACAATCCTCGGATTGGATCTACCCTCGCTCTACCGACAAATTACAAGGCCTTTCTGTAGCAAGTTAAGGGTAATCAGTTTTAATTAGCATGCGCAATGAATCGGCATGGAATACACATTGATATTTAACCGACAAATATTAATTTAGAAGAGCAGGATAAATTTTTGTACGATAATTAACTGACTTCGCTCCCTGATTTGTTCAAAACTATGGTCCATATCTTTCTATAAAAAAAAGAACATAAATTGACAGATATTGAGTATAATCAATATTGGATGTAACAGAATTTGTTTTCCTCTCTCTTTCGCACATCTTTTTTCTCAAAATTTGGCCGAATTCGCTTGCGGCTCGTGGTTCCAATTGACTTTTGAACTATTTCTACGTCATTTATAATAATGCCAAAAACGCAGCTAAGAGTGTTAACCTCTTTTCAGTCCGCATAAATGATAAATGGGACGCAAATGAGCCACGTGTAAAGACTTATGAAAATTTAGCCATTTCTTTGACACTTGAAAATCAAGAGAATTTCTGGCAAACCCGTTTACTGTGACTACCCTGTGTGCAGCCGCCCTGACCGATTAGGATTGCGATCACTAGTGACACAACCTTTATGCTTTAGGAACAATTTATTAATTCCTAAAAGATTATTATTCGGTGTTTTATAGGTAAACACAGATCCTCAGCAATGCTTGATTTGTACCAGTTCTAAAATAATCCCTATTACGAAACGAAGCTGTGTTAATAGAGTTCATATAAAATGACGCTATTCATTTTAGTCTATTTGCCTTAAAAAGACATTGATAAAGGAGAGTATATTAAAATGATTTTAAAAAATGTACTGACTGCTAAGAATTTTTTCATATTTCTTCCCCCTTTCTTGAACCACAGGATGCGACTTGCTTTTTACCGACGAGACAGTAACTGGCCATATAACGTTCTTTTCCCCAAATGGTCCAAATGAACCTTCAAAATCCATCGGTCTTCCGACCAACAAGACTTGCAGCTTTAACTTTTTGGGAAAACTTTATGTTCAATACCTGGACTGCGCTGGGGACTGGATAGAAGTACCATCAGACGAAGTGAAAGCTGACTGGGAGCTTACAACTGGCTGGGCAACAAATCAGTTACAAATATTGGTAAGCACAGAAAACAAACAGCGGCTGAACCACCACTCTATAGGGGCAGCAGAAAAATAAATGAACCTCGTCTCTCGACAGTTTTAATGTTGCTGTGGGTCCTCTTATTGTACTCAAATAGGGAAACTTCAGAGAACAGAAAAAAAAATCCACACCCCTCTCCCCTCCCCTCCATTCAAAGTCGTTTTCTACAGGTGGCTCGAACAGCGGGACAACATTACATGGAGGGGATGGGAGAGGTCAAGATTTAATTTCCCCTTTCGAAGACGATAAAAGGTCAGAAAGTCCCTTTAATTAGGGTAAAGTGTCTTAACTTATTTTGTTGCCGATTATAGGTACTGTGATATTGATGTGACCAAGTGCAACATCGTCAATTTAAAAAAGAGTTTCATTTACACGACAACATGAAAATTATGATACCCGTCTAGGATCTTCGCACTTGAAAATAGAACTCGGAAATGGCCAATTTATATTTAACTATGCTGAGCGATTGCAACCGTTTTAGTACAAATTCGTTTGCTATACCAAAGTACTCTGGCTCGCTTAAATGGCATTTCATTTTTATGCTAGACGCGTGTAACGTCTGACACTTTAAAGTCCTCTGTTAAGCGCCACAGAACGGCCTATTTTGCACCTATTTATCGTTCTTACACTAGACATTTAAGTTGTCTTAAAAGGACTTCAACGTCACAGACGACTTTAAGGCCCGTAGTACAAAAACGGCCATAAAAGATCTCTAACTGTTTCGATTTGTCCAATACACATATCACGGACTAAAAGATGGGTATGGAAATTTCCATCGTGAAAACAATCCCGTGAAATAATTCCGTGCTGTATTTTCTCAAACAGGTCAAAAGAAATATTTCAAATTTTATGAGCTTAACCAGGGGAAGGATCTTCAGAGTAGCAGTTCAGTGTCGTGATCTTAACAGCAGCAACCACGACGTAGGAAACACCACATGCGCTATGTTCAAAGTGGAAGCCGAAGGAGGAATTTATCTCTGTAAGAAAATTCACATTTGTGCAACGTGGTTCAGACTACTATCAACGACTCACTTTGGAGAACTGGTTACAACTACAAACTTAGAACAAACGCCACTGAATCGTAGTCAACAGTACAAACGACTTATTGACTGAATCAAGCAAAACTAACTACGAGAGAACGACTGGACAACTGACAACTTCACTAGCAATAAACGACTGTTTAACTGTGACAATTCTATTTATAGACGGATCGAAACGCACCAATGACATTACGAGTCTTTATGGCTAATGACATGACCGCCTAACTGACAGGTCACGACTTCTGTTAGTGACATGTCGAAAACATCCCGTATGTCCCTTTCCCAGTGCCTTCTCGGTCTTCCTCTTTCTCATCTCCCATCTATCTTTCCCTCCAAGATGACCTTACCCAAGCCCTCACTTCTTTTCATAATTATGGCCAAAATACTTCAGCTCTTGTTTTTTTTTATAAAGATCTCTAACCATTAAGTTTCCACTTTGAATTCCTCCCCAGTTGACTTAATTGTTCTGTGCTACGATCACGATATTTAAAATTTTCCCATAGTACCTCATTTCAAAAGCGTTAATTAAGGCTGTTTTTCCAAGTATCCATGTGCTCACAGGCGTATGTAGCGATGAGGAAAACGTATGTTCTCAAAATTCTTAGTTTCGTTTCAATAGAAACTAACAATTTACAGATGACTACTAGCTGTAATCTGAGAAAGTCAATGTCAGTGACTGGAACATTTTATAACTTTCATTGTGATATAGCTGGAAATGTTTTCCCAACAGCGTGCATTCTCATTGGTTACTTCAAGGTTACATAACATCTAACAATGAAGCTGTTTCCCGTTCCCACCAAAATTTCTGAGCGGGCAACATTGCAAACTATAGGACATCAGAGGGTAACAGTGCACTGATACCCGCAAATGTTGACCGACCACCACCATTACAGGGAGGTTTAATGAATTTCCAGCTTCAAAATTTCCAGTTATAGAACAAATCAAGACTGGTCCCTCGGGAAATATTGAGAGTCTCGGGAAACAAAGTTAACTGTTTCCCTCGGGACCAGTGATTAAGTGTTTAATCTTTTTTAGGTCCATTTCCTCAACCAGCTTCATCAGGACAGTCAGCTACATTACCGCCACCAACAGTGGAAATAATAAATGCCACTGGGGGGACACTACGTCCCCCACCCACCTCTACAGAACAACTATCGTCACAAAGCACTGGAAGGGTCACAAGTGAAGTAAGTATCTGAAGTCCATGAAATTGAACATTCTTCTTCCTTTTGTGACCAATATCAGGGTGGCTATTGTACTCACTGCATTTAATCAAAAAAGTGTGTAGAGTGGTAACTGTTCCTTGGCTATGCTAAACTAATATATTGACTCTGGTAAAAGGTGGCAATTTTTTTTTCCAATTAACTTTTAATAACCAGGGGTAGAAAAATGGATTGTTCACTAATAACAATTTTGAATGAATGTTCCAGTATGACATTAAAGCACGTTAAATGGTCTCATAAACACTCCTTGTATTGAAACCTCAATAGCCATTGATAGGTACACAATTGACGAATGAAATTATTGTTTTTAGTTACATCTCAGACAATTTCCAGCCAGAGGTTTTGGTGGATTTAAATGATTCAAAGTCATCAATGATTCAAGTCAGAGAGAGCATTTTGCCCCCTTCTCCCCTCCCCTTCTTCTTTGGGGAGTTTTTTCTCTCTCTCTTTTTCTTTTTCATTTGTTGATAACTATTTTCACTTGTTTATAGGAAACACCATCTCCTCAAACAACAACTCAGGTGAGTCACTTGAATAATTTTCAGGCACTGAGCTGGAAATACATTCACTACATTTCATCTTCCATTCTGTAATGTTAATAATTTAAAGTTTACAGGAGGTCTCCTTTGAATAACAGAGTGAAATGAAAATCAGCATTGCATAATTTATATTTTTTTTAATTAATGAAAGGAATTTTTATTAGTCTTTGAAGGTAAGATGGTATATCTTTTCGTTGTGACAAGCCTAGTATATTCTTTATGGCGGTATAACAACAACTCTGTAATTTATGAAAACGAGGCCAACACGTGACCGTTTACAACGTATCAATATTGACAAATATTGTCACACAAGTGGTGGGAGGAGGGGGCAGGAGAGTAGCTTTCAAATTGTACAGGCCAATACAGCCTAGATCAGGGAATCACTAATCTCCTTTTGCCGTCAACACCCATGTTTATAGTTTATACAGTTTTGCTTATCCGATTGGTTAAATAGTTATTGTGTTTTATCATTTTGTAGACGACGCCGAGCACCACATCAAAGGTAGGTCCTATAGTAATGCATTTGGAGCATAAAAGTATAAAAGAGTATAAAAGAGTATAAAAGCAGCTTATTTAGGGGAATTGAACCAGCTAAGACAGGAAAAAAAGGCCAGTGATTCAACAGTTGTTCATAGTAGCATCCCATCCCACAACAAGATTTGCCAATCCAAAGCCTTCCGAATTTAATCATTATGAATTATCTATCATAAAATTTATAAATGCAGAGACTAACAATCACTTATACATGCTGATTTTGCCATGGCTTGCTAATTCATTCAATAACTTTGATTTAAAATTGCCGCATAGAAAATTACAAACAAATGTAAGAAAATTTCCCTTACCGCGTAAAAAATTGTCCTCTTGCCTCTCAACCGTAACTTTGTTCCATATGTATGTCATTGTGTCTCCCTTTGGACAGTCTATTTTCCAAATATACTGCGGACAGCGCCTTCCCAAATTAAAGCCATTGGAAATTTGTTCTTTTCATTCTCACTACGGCACAAACAGCCAATAAGAAGTCCAAATTGCTAGTGTTTCATTTGAAGTCCAAAATTTCGAAAATTATGGCCAGATGCTGTGGGTCGTTTGACGCCAATTTAACGGGGTTAATAAGCCATTCTTCGCATTTCACTGCACAAACACAATACGAGGAAAGACGAATCGCCGGTTTAAATATCCTTGGCCAGTAAAAGCTAGAAATACGGACGAAAAGAGGTTTATAGCTTTCCTCGTCAAAGATCGAAATCGAACGCATGAACTGCCATGTTGGTAGTGTTCAACTTTTATTTAGCTTACACAAAGGGTTGAATTTCATTTAAAATCCGCTGTACGGCTCACTGGTGAGTTCTTTTGCGTGACAACGAGGATTTATTTGGGATTTTGTTGAAAGTTGCTATTTTTTATTTAAGTGTGTGTTAGATACAATTATTAGCACTTTTGAAGGAATAAATTATGTTTTTAATTAACTATAAATTATATTAACCCATTCGCTCCTGGGGATTTTGCCGAAAAACGCGTTTTGAAGCTAGTCGAGTGGTTTTCTGGTCACTGTCGTGCTATAAAGAGCTAAAACTTACCACAAACCGGTTTACAGGTCGTACACTTGGCGGCCTTCTGATCCAGATGCAAAATATCAGCTTGCGAAGTTCGGGCATGCGCAGAAAGCAAAATTTCGACATAGTTTTTGGGTTTAAAAGTGACACAGCAGTCTTGACTTTTACTTTTCGCTTTCTCTCTTCCCTTCTTTTTTCGCTTTTCTTGCCTCATTTTTTTTTTCTCTTGCTGGGCATTTAGTAGGCTTCATTTTGGTGGGAAGAGTTTTTAGGAAAGCTTTTAGGATCTTAGGATTAGGTGAAAGGAAAGGTAGGTGGGTAATGGAACAAGATTTTCATGGAGATTTTCAGGTCCTTGTCACGTGGTTTTTTGCTTCTTTCTCCGGTGTCCTTGACTGAATTGTGCTCATTCTGGTATGGTTTGAAAGATCTCTTCACTCTGCACAAGTTAGCGAAGGAAGTTGTCCTTGACCGTTAAAACTGATGACGTCACAAAGGGTAGAAAGGACCTGGATCCGCAGGGGCGGTTACGGGCGGTTCAGGGGCGAATGGGTTAAACTTAGGAAGAGAAAGGTCGCGTTAGTCCGTGACTGTATGAAATTGGCGGGGAGTTTGAAAACACAGGCAAAACTCTATTATTGCAAACGATGTAAAGAATTTTACTGTTTATCACTGGACATTTTCTTAATAGGGCACAACTCAAGGGAGCCCTAACTTGAATGCCCAGACTGGAACCAAGAGAAACACCTTCATAATAACAGGAGCTGTAGCTGGCGGTATTCTGTTCATCGCTTTGATTTTTCTTATCTTATGGCGCTGTAACAACCCCAAGTAAGATTCAGTTTTAACAAATACATACAACTTATAAAGCGAGAGTGAGGTCATTACAGGGAAATCTCAGACCGAGGCCTGAGATTTCCCTGTAATGACCGAACGAACGGAACGAGGTTAATAAGGGTTATTATTAAAAAACTGCCAAGTGTCACGCCTAAGGCGTGATTGTTACGCCTGCGGATCGAAAACTTGGATCTCACGCCTACTCACGCCTGTGTTCCGATTTGTCACGCCTGGCAGAAAAGTTTGAGCCATTACATCATTAACTGACACATTTTGAAAAATATATTAACTATTTAAACAAACCAGAACCAGAGAGAGACAAGAAAAGTCTATGTGGATGATCGACTTTCTCCGAATTCTCTTTTTTCAGTAGGGAAGTCAATGTTCCTTTGTGTTCCTGTGTTCGTGTTGGACGGAACTCTTCGTAACATCTTCGGAAGTCTTCGGAATGTCTTCGGACATCTTCGTATATGATCGGACCCCTACGAAAAATCTTGGCACTCTTAAGATAAAAAATCTCACTCCTATAAATGTAAAAAGGTTGGCAGGTACACAATAAGATGGCCTTGTAATTATAGAACTGAGCCTGAATTAAATTAAAATCAACAATTGGTCAGCGGACAACTTAAAAAAACGTCAAACAGTCAGGTGATACTGGCCAGCGGATACGTATACCCTTTAATACAGCTGTCAATTGACCATAACACTGATGCCCATGAGAATGTCCACGTACTATCAAGTTAAACACAGATTGTAAATGCCTAAGACACCTTGCTGGTAATGCCAAGCCATTACATGAAAACAGCCAATCCAAGCGCGCCTAGTATTGTAGCCACATGATAAATGTAATTATTTACCATCATTATCAAATAAAGGTGGTCAATCCAATGCAAGGCAATCCAAAAAAGTCGTGGATCCTAAATTCTACCCTCTGCATTCCGGACTTCAGGTACTGGATACCCGACTGAGATTCCTTGTCAGTGGGATTCAATCATCAGCGGGATTCCGGATTCCTTGAGTTAACTTCTGGATTCCAAAGCCCAGGATTTCGCATTCCATGAAACAATTTCGCCAGCAGTTTTTGATCCCAGCAGTTCCAAAAGCAAAAAATTCCCGGATTCTTGAAATCGGATTGCCTCACAAAGGCAGTGGGTATGGTACAATAAAACCTAAGAAATAGTATTCGGTCTCTTGCATTGGATATAGGTTTTACTAGCTGATTTCAATAACTTGGATGACACGCTTTCTTTCAGAATATATTGCGCATTTTTGACAACGAAATATCGTTGTACACAATGTATCAATCGTATGGTTCTTTCCGACCTAACTATTAATATTGTGGAATGTTGAACTATTAATTTTACAGAAAGCGGGATCCTCCCCATCACCGTTTTGAAGGTAAACACTTAATACATGTAAATTTTTTAAACTTTGTATTTTCATTCAATAATACCCCCTAGTAAGCGTTATCTGGAAGTCTAACGAATTACACTTTAAAGTAATCCGGAATTTTCCCGAATAACTGACCGCATTTTGGAAAGAATTTTAGGACTGGAGCTATATAAGCATGTATAGGCAACAACGTTTATATTTTTCCACTAGATGAGACAAGTAAATGCTTGAAGGCCCTGTCCACACGTATCCGGATATTTTTTAGTCCGCACCTTTTTCTAACTGGATACGACTTCCGTCCACACGTATCGATGAACACGGCATACGAATCCGCAACTTTTTGAATCCGCTGTTCAGAGTAGAAAGGGGGAATCCGGTTTTTTAATCCGGAGGGAAAAAGTTGCTGATTCAAACATATCCGGATACGTGTGGACGGAGCCTAAGATGCGCGAAATTAATAGCGTGCAATGTTCGAAGTTGCACTTGTTTAAATTTAATTATCCGATTCATTTAAAGGTCAGGGAAGGTATTAATTCAGTTTTAGGGTAAATATGGTGTTGAATGCTTGAATGTAATATGTTGCAAAACTAAATGCTAAGAGCTATATGACATGATTTTCGAGTATTAAATAAATCGCTTATCTCAATTATCATACCAAAACTAAAGACAATAAAAGCGTGGAAAAACGAACAGAGAAAATGTCAGCGCCTCCAGGTATAAGACGAGCATTTGCCGATAGATATTTAGACTATATAAGATATACCATGTATAGTTTACTGATTAAGACTACCTAAAGGTACCAAAGATAAAATCAAGTATCAAACAACTCTTACCAAATGGCCATACCGCAAAAAATTTAAATACCATATAAAGTTTTGTTTCGGGTAGATTAGGTGGCATTTTCCTCCAGCTACTCCTTTCCTTTTCTATGGTATTTACTTGTGGATAATTCGTTAAGGAAAGCCGCATTCTGAGAGCAAACTTTCTGAGAAAATGGAACTCAGTGTACGACTCTTCAGTTCAAATATATTTGCATAGAGTACACGCTGTTTGTTTCGTCAACCTTTGTTTTTGAATAGACCACGCACGCCCCTGCGCTTTTGGAGCAAAATATATCAACCAATAATAGCGGTGATGCAAATTCCCCAAGGGGAGTTCTGAGGCCGCTCAAACGCTGACATAGATCTTTTTTGGCAAAAAAAATACATCAATCCTCTGCCCCATCCCCCACCCCTCTCCTTTCTCATGAATCCCACTTGTGCATGTTTAGCAAATAAATAAGAAATTGAAGCACTATGTAACTCAACATTATTTGTTCTGTAGGGTCAATTTCCAGTCCAGTTAGCCCGGTAAGTCTGATACTTCGTCTTTACTTTCCTTTTAAATAGTCCGGCATAGAATGTATAATGTTGTAGAATTCCTTCTAATATTAAAAATGTAATTTAGTTAATAAATGCAAGCCTCCTAATTATTTGTCCATCACCCTGACAAGTTGAAGCAAATGAGAAGAAAAGAGAAAAAAAAAAGAAACAAAGAAAAAAAAGAAAAAGAAACAAAGAAACAAAGAAGAAAAAAGTGCTAGGACCCTTCCTTGAAAGTAGTAAAGTTGCTGAGTTCTCTTTCGGGGCTGCAACATAGAGAAGTGGGTGCATGGGGAAGGGGGGTGGTAGTAAAGAGAGATGAACCCAAAGCCGGTGAACGGATACAAAATTACTTGGAAGGCCTTTTTGTTAGTTCCTCATTGTGCATCAGAGTAGTCTGATAGAGCAATTGCTGTTCATTTTAGATGAATCGTCACTCGATTCCTGTTTACACGGACGCTGCTCATCTTACACCATATGGAGATTTCAGCATGCGAACAAATAGCATAGGTATTCTTTCTATTTGCTATGTATATATTTTTAATGATTCAACCTACATGCATGATAAGTTCCGGTGATGAAATAACGTGACATAGATAAAAGAAAAGAAATGTGAAATGATGTAACTGAGGAAGCATGAAAAGTGCATAACTCGTTTTGATAATGTTACCCTTATTAAAATGATGTTAACATACACGTGAGCAAAGAGTTTTACGGAGTGAATGATCCTGACTTCACACCAACCTTTTATTTGGGTAGTGTGATCTTCTGTATCGGTCACGCGTTTGGAAATCACTTAACAACAACAACAACAACAACGATATTGAGCAAAAATAAATTATAAATAACTTAATGTTAACTAAAACAAAACAGAACATAATGCCTATTTGTTACATAATGTTTAAAAAGCTTATTTTTCCGTTTTAATAGATTTTCGAATACCCAGTGAAATCCAAGGTTTGGACTTAAATTAGATTTCTTCTTATTTACTTTTTCCAAAGGAGAATTAATGTTTATCTTCGTTAAGAGAGTAAATTAAAAACGATCATATGTTTTAGTTTGATCAATGCCTTTTCCTTAGAGCATTAAGTTTGCCGGGAAATGCCTGATAGATATTTGAACTAATGTAAGCTTCTTGATGAGCTGTGCTCTATGCTGAGCTTTTACGCAAAATGCTCGTAAACTGCTACTTTATTTTCCAAATTAAGTTCGCGAACATTAGAAAAAGCGTTATTTTAAGAAAAAAAAACAATTGATTTCTACGAATTATTCACAAACGGAAACGGTTTTTTTTCGTAATATTTATTTTGAAATGCTCGATCAAGCAATTAACTATCGTTTCTCTTACGAACGAAAGGTCTTTAGCATCACATTATGGTTGATGTTGTCAAAGTTGACAGCAGAAAACTACAAGGACAAATACTAATCTTATATCTTATATTATTTAACGTTTCTTTCCTGAATTGTCGAATTAAAATTCTAACCACATTAATAATCGTTTGATCGATTTTTTAAATTCTCTTTGCCAGTACCACTTAAGAATTTTTCAATGATACTGAAGCCGTTTGTCAGCGCTTTGCTTAGCTTTGCTTATCTGGCCGTTCAACTCGTTACAATTCGTACGTAAGTTCTCCTTTTTTTAAATCTGTTTTTTGTTTTTAGAAAACCCAGCCTACAGGAGGGCCTCAGATGGAGTGGTACTAGGTCCCCAATACAGGCATGGCTCTCTGTACTCGGATAGCTTTCCATATGGGGCCCCACCCAGGCCGCCACAAGGAAAAGGAGGTAGCTTGAACGGACAAGTCAACCCAGCCCTTTCGATGGATGACGACGTCATCACTATGAATCCGCTATATGAAGGACAAGTTGTAGACCACAGGGATCTTGACGAGCTTAACTGCAGTGATTTTGCTGTTTACCCCGAGCAAATTGTTCTTGAGGACCGCAAAAATCCATATGGAGAGGGTAATTTTCAAAAAATAATATTCCTTAATATCAGATTGTCTATTCTAATCAGTGCAGTTGCTGATTGCACAAGTAAACGGCACGTGAAAATGTTTACTCGAAATGAGAGACAATGAAAATATAGATATTTTTAACAGCATGAATTGAAAATTGGTTCGAAAAAAAAATCATTGAAACTAAAACCTCAGGTGAATAGGTAATTCTTTACTTTTGAATTTTGGTGACGTCAAGAATACCTTTCAATTTTAAAAAATAAAAATAAATTGTTTGTTTGCTTTAATAATATTAATTATGTAGTAGGGTAAAAATTTAAAGTGGAAAGAGTTGAAAACTGAAGGGTTTGAACGTGGGATATAAAGACTGTAATGATTCCTGCGGTAATTAGGGCGATCAGGGTGATTAACTACACATGTCTTGCGGAATGTGGTTTCAATTACGTGAATATAGTGTCTGCTTTTACTTGAATATAACTTGAATAGAAATGAAGCCGATAAAACCTTATGGAACAATAATGATAATGATAATGTAATGCTCATGTTAAGCTAAAGCTAATGATAATAACAATAATAAAATACTTTTTTTTTTTTTTTGCAGAATTTGACCAGACATACGACTGTCCCGAGGAAATCCTTAACTCCAAGGCAGGAGTTCCAGAACCAGTACCTGTTTTCTATGTACTAGATGACCCTTACCCAGAAAGCATTTCAAGCACGTTTGGGCACGGAGAGAATGTCAGGGGGCGCCCAGACGGAAACGTTTACGATGAACCTGAGGTGAACCTCACCCCTGACGGATCGTTTATAGTTATGGACAGTCCAAGTGGTATGTCTTCCCTTTAAGGCCGAAGAGTGACCAATATCAATTTTCTCCTTGAAATATCAATGCATGATCAAGTGAAAAGGTTGTGAGAATTTATAAAATGATCACCAGAGGAAAACTGCCATGTTCTTTTATCAATTTTTCTGAACTTTAAAGAAATACGCGCAAGTAATTCATAATCTCATACAAAAAAATTACCCTTTTTTTTACAGAATGCATCCTCATCTCCTTTTATTTATTTATTTTTTTTCCTTTGCCTAGCCGTCGCCTATACTCGTGGATATGACGACCAACCACGTGGCGAAGACTTACAGAATAGGCGTAGAAGTCAGGGTATCTTGAAGGTTGGCTCAACGTCCCCAAGAGGCCAAGGTTATTACTCCCATTCAAGCAATGCTCGAAATTAGACATTTACAACAACTGAAATGAATTCGTACTCGAACCAAGGCCTGGTTCAGACGCCGTACTTTTCATGTGCTGAACCTAACTGAATAAGTTCGACTTTGGAGCGACACTGGCGCGACATCTGATTCAGACGGCGTACCGTGTGTCGAACCTAATTTAAGTTCGACAAAAGTTCGACAGACTCTGTCGAACTTAATGCTTTTGCCGCACCAAACTAAATTGATTCAGAAGCCGCTCTTTTCCCGTACGTAATTCATCAGTTAGGTTCGGCACATGAGTGGAGCGGCGTCTGAACCGGGCCTAACAGTTTATAGAAAGAAACTCTTTTAAAGTTGTCTGCTAGAATTACTGAGAAAAGAGGCGGTGGCTTGAGAATCGCCTGCCGCACAACAAGCTGCCGGGCATTTATCATCCGCAAATTTCAAAGAAGAGTGTACATATATGTTTCTGAATCTCCATTTTAGTGGTTTATGAGTCTGTTTACCATCGGTTTGATATAACGCGAAAAGTTTTTCTATATGATTAAATAGTATTCCCAAAATTCAACCCTGTTTCTTCTGAAAGGGACGATTTCCACATGTTTTTTTTTTTTCAAAAGTAATGTATGACAATTTAGTTACGAACACCGTTTACTTACTTGACATAGTTATCTAGAAACCTTTGAACACTGCTCCAGGGTAAAAAATCCGTAGCTCAATTCAATGGTCATATAAAACTATGTACCCAAATTATTATTAGAATTTTCAAATGTTGTCCTATTAATAGCCAATAATACCCTTTTGTTAATACCAGCATTCTGGACTATACTATGTTTATTTGTTAAACTAAAGTAACAACAGCTGTAAGAACAAAATCTTGGACGCCCCTTTTTACTGTTCCCAAAGCTAAGAGGAAGCAATATTTGAGTTTAACAGTCTTTATCTAGTTTGTTTGCATAATAAAAATCTTCTAATGGCGAGCTGTCTCTGTCATATGTATTCACAAAACAATTACATACTCGGCTGTGGGTTTAAAGATATGTTTATAGGGGTGTAATGAATTGGAAACGTGCACCTGAACTCATTGAATATCTATTGATGTACCTCCTTAGGCCCCTAGAATTTACAAAAGAGTTATATTCTGAGAATATATTCCTTTGGTGTAACATTCTCCCTCTTAGAGAGTCTGCTGTTACTTTCAAATCCTTCGGCCCATATTCGTGCAACCTTATGAAGCAATGTCTGTGTGAGTCGCTTACCTCACCGATGTAGAATTACAAATGACCAATGCAACGCATTGTTACTTTAACCGGTCTTCGTAAATGTTCAAGGCAGTGGCGGATCCAGGGGAGGGGCCAGGGCAGGGGCGGATCTAGGGGGAGGGTGCAGGGGGTGCGCACCCCCCCCCCCCCCCCCCACGAGCCCCGCGTTTTTTTATAAACATGGTGTTTTTTAAAAAAAAAAAAAAAATAGTTTTTTTTTTTGTTTAAATGAAAAAAAATGAAGGCGGCCCCCCCCACACACAACAAACCCGGACCCCCCCCCCCCGCGGCCGCAGAGATGACCTGCGGTTTTCTAATACAACTGGTATTCTGCAAAAAGAAAAAACTATGTGGTTTATTGGTGTTGAACTAGAGCAAGAGACGAGTGCACCCCCTCCTAAAAAAAAATCCTGGATCCGCCCCTGCAGGGGTGTCCGGCCCCCTTTACTTTTAGATCTAACTGAAAAAAATTTAAGACCGCCTCTCCCCCCTTATCGCAGGGTCTGGATGATTCTTTCCCCCTTTTCTGAAAGTCTGGATCCGCCAGTGCAGGGTGATTACTGATCCCTTATTTTCGCCTTTTTTTGTTTTATTTTTGTTTTGGTTTTTTTTCCTCTGTATTTCTGCACCCAGTTAAGAACAAAGATCAAGAAAAAAGGACGCCAAAAGCTTTTAGCATATTTTCACCGACGAATGATTATCTATTAACTATTTAATCTTTAAAAAGGGTAGCAAAAAACAAGTGGAGGTTGCTCCCTTCTCGTTACCAGGGTGGTGTTGTTGATTTTCTTGACACGTATTACTGTCCCGGGAGAGGAGGGGAGGGGTACGCGGTAAATATTTGGGTATAGGTGAGCCGCCGAGGGTTTGAAACCCTGACCCTATTTAGGCCAAAAACAAATCCTCAATTTTATTACCCCTTTTGTGCAGGCAATACCCTGTATATAATTAAGACATATTCGCTCTAAATTATAACCCTGTTTAGGACAGAGGGGTAAAAAACCATACCCTGTACAGGGGCGCATATCCATATAGGCCATACAGGGGAGCAACCCTCCCCCTCCTTGGGCGTCCTGTGCGTTCCAGGGTTTCCTAAAAGGCTTGCATTAATTGTCACTTTAGGAATCAATTTATTTCGGTTAAACAAGGCAATACATTTTTTCCAACCTTTTTCTTGTTGTTTTTGGTATTACAGTAAAGGGGGGATTGCTTTGCATTCATCCATCGACGAATTATTAATGATGTTGTCGTAATGATTATAAAAGTATTTAAAATTTCTAATAATAATTACACTATTCTAATAATTACGTAATTATAATAAATCTTACCCTCCAAGTTACTTAGATGACGTGAATTTTCAAAGAATGTGTTAGCTGTCAATAACGAGCCTCGAGAGGTGATGGGGCCTTAAAGCAGACTAAGGCGCACTAGCATGGGGAGTCAAAGGAGGATTTGGAGTAATATTTCTTGGACTGTTTTCTAGCCTCCAGAGCTACAGCTTTGCCATTGCGTTGTGCAAGCCTTTCTTATATTACAAGAGCCCTCAGCAATATACATTAATTTTAAGCTATTAATAAATTTTATCATATATTTATGGTTACTTTAAACATTAGTGGCCATCCAAGATAATAGCAGATTCTAGGTTGTGCTCACACATGTTTCACTTTCTGACTAAATGATTCTGTGATTTTTGACCAAAGACCTCGGCTATCACGTAGCCTTCACGTAGGCTTCATTGCTCATGTAACTATTTCACCATTTTTATGCATCCTTAATATTTTTCTCTACTCTGATTAATTTACCTGTCCCCCAATTTTCTTCTGAGCAAGGATTACAACTATGTTTGTTTTCTATAAGCCATTTAAGTCTTAGAACAGTGAAGGGCAGCATTACTTAATTAATTCTTAGGTATATATAGAATAGAAATTTTCGTTTAACACAATATCATTGCGCCATATTAAGAATGTTTTGACTTATTTCAACTCTTCAATGATGGAGCAAAACGTCTTTTTTCATTGCTATGTTATATAAGACTAAAGGGGAAGTAATTATTATAAATGATCTCTGCATTGAGTTGATAATCTTCAGTAAGCATCTTCTCTCTTTTGAGTCTCTTTTTCCGGAAGCCTTTCAACTTCCGATCAGTTATATAACTTGAAAACTCCTGTCGCCAAAGCTCGATTGGGATGGATTTCGCTGGCCATTATTTGTAACTGAGGAGGAAAAACATAGTTATTACTGAACAGTAATTAGGCCTAACTAGACGTGCAAATTTCAACATCGTTCGGGTTACGACCCCTTTAGCAACTTTTATTTCAACTGGTATGATTTCTAGGGCATTTATAGTACATTTCCATGGAAACTAGTGTTCTTCATAGCTATGTTTTACCAAGACTGTAGATCTTACAATATCAATGATTCTTTGAGTTCCTTTTATGTAACAATTTCTATACGTCCGTTTTAGCTATTCATTGCTCAAAACTGTCCAAAGCCTACTAAATATAAATAATGTTCATTATATGCTTATATATTAGAAATTAATACTGCTGTCCACATAATCTAGCTACTTCTGATACCCGTTAAGTTCAGCACTTTCAGAGAAGAGGTTGTTCTCGATTTAACATTTAAATCTACAAGGAGGCACTTTGGCCCTATACCCCTACAAAATGGGCCACCAACCATACTTATCATCTATCAGAACTACAGTAAGGGACCGGTCATTATTTATCGCCTTGTGGGGTGGGGGGCGGGGGAGGTGAGCGGCGGAAGATTTGTGGCTAAACAAAGTCAAATTTAGCCGATCCCCCTTTTGCTTGAATGTTACTTCACTGAAGTGATCCCCCCTAAAAACTTTTGATGACTTTAGCGATCCCCCCCCTCTTTTGTCTTCATTTTCCAAGCAAATTTGAGTGGTCCCCTTTCTGAATCCTTCCAAAGTTTTCAGCGATCCACTCTTTTGGGTTCTCAGCTACGACTGATCCCCCCTTTTGTTCTCCCAAAAATCAAGCGATCCCCTCCAAAATCCTCCCCCCCCCCGGCGATAAATAATGACCGGTCCCTAAAGCTCACAGGCTCACATACCCCTGGGATTGTCCGCAACGATGTAAGATCCCCCACGGCTAAGATTGCCCTCGGGTTGATCATAAACATGCCTTATGGTATCATTCTGGCCATTCCCGACAGGGCTTGGAAGATTCTCCGTATAGGACTCGTCAGCTACGTAGTACACAGGCACAGGTGTTGAGTGAATTGGCTTGGAGTCCAGGATCTCCTCAGGACAGTCGTACGTTTGGTTAAAATCTGTAAATCGTAGAAAATTATTTTCACTTCTATAGCAGCACCCAAAAATGTCTGTTATCGTAATGTTTTGTACAATTCTTATTTCCATTGCCTTTTTACATAATAATCCTGTGTAAAGTAATATACTAATTTTATTCTTTTCAATATATTTCTTAAACATTAGTAAATAATCAACATGCAGGGCAATCCTGAAACCACTTTGGTGAAAACGCACGCTGTTTAAAGAATTTCATGACTATCATTATTATTATTATTATCATTATCATTATCTTCATAGTAATTTTAATCGTTGTTACTATTAGGTGAAGACTAACAGACCGAGGTAATTTAGTTTAATTGTAATGCTAAACAAGTAAACAGGTTAAGTAGCTGAAGCTAACAAAAAATGAACACGTCCCCCATTTTCCCAATATATATTACTTTGCTTGCTTATTTGTTTGTCTGTCTCTATTTTTGTTTAAT